GGCGACCTGAGCCTGCCGCTGCTGCTGCCGCCTATACCGCACCTGCCGCTGCTGCTGCTCGCTCCGGTTCCCGCTGCGCTGCAACCGTCCACACGCAGCTGCGGCTCCCAACCACTATATCTGGAATCCAATCCCCCCCCCCCTTCAGAAACCATGTATATCTTAGCCCTGCTCTTTGAGGCGGGGTAAAGACTAATACATGGAAAGCAATGAGAAACAAAAACGCATCTGCAGTTGTGAAATGAATGTGGCTTAAAAATAATCAAAAGCTACTTAACACTGTTCCCAAGTTCTACTCTTCCTTCTTCGATGTTTAGTACATAGTATTGTACTCGTAGGTGCAGTAAGACTTATACACTGCTAGGTTAATGATCTTGTGCTCCTAAAGTGTGGAAAAGGACATAAAGATCTTACGATGATATAGGAAAGGCAAGAATATATGCGTCAGAGTGCACAGTGCTGGTTGGTACGTGGCTCTCAAGTTACATTTAGTGAAGCAGTGAAGTGTTGAAGTGTTTTGTGTCTAAACATGATACAGTTTAGTATGATAACTTTTTTAGTAATCCTTGTACAGTGTACCTTGTGAGAATTGGAAGATCAGTTTGTAACCATAAACATTTACGGAATTCTGCACTTTACGACGTACTTTACATTTTAGAAATTTTTATCACTGTCCATTTTGAGTTGTCCATGTTACTTAGTGTTGAATTTGCAACAGTGTGGACTTAAAGAGGGAAAATTTAGTGTTTCCTTATTAAGGTGCGTGAGGTAGGTGCACCACACCGCTCAGAAGTAATTCGATCTCTTAAAGAGTACGGGGCGTGGCGAGCGAAGCTAACTATACAAGCTCACAGCTTCCTTGTCGCCAAGAAACTGGGATTGTGTTAGTAGTAGCCCGAGGGATGTTCTCTGGAGCTATTTAACACTGCGGAACATCTTGTTGCTGTTTGTTCTCTCAAGCTACTCTACAAGTTACAGAACACAGTTGTGATCTGTTACGTGTGTTCTCTGAAGCCACAGCAAAGACTACGGAACACCTAGCGGGGAAATCAAACAAAAGCTTTTAGTGTTTTGCTCGTCAGTGTTTTAAAAACCTCGCCAGTGATACTCACGGTGAGAAGTGCGGTGGTTCGGCAACGTTCTTGTGAAGTGAACAACACTGTATGCTACATCACATGACATATGCTAAGACAGATGCTTAACGCATTCATGTCCCAGGAGACGCCGGTGCTACAAAAACACACTCGTTTATGCAAGTGATTAAAAAATATTTCTTCTCATGAAATTGTTCTGTATTCAATACAGTAATAAATGTTCTCACGAAAGTAATCAAAACGTTAGGAATACACTAGAAATGTAAATAACACCAAGAAAAACTGTAGCTCCAGCAGAGGCAAAGGGATAACAGCAACCAATGTGTCCCCATGAACGTTGACTTCAGTACAAACAAGCATCACCAGTGAACACAGCCTGTCTAGCAGGAAGCTACAACCCACCATAACTAATTAAAGGTTAGCATTTTGCAGAGATAAAAATATGCAACAAGATCACAATAACAGGTGATATCACAATATGCAGAACAACCACTGAAAAAATAGTGAAATTTCAAGGACGTTTTCTTGATTTCTCATATTATCAAGGAACAGTTCCTTAATAATGTGAGAAATCACGAAAACGCTTGGAATTTCACTATTTTTCACTATTCACTTTATATATATATATATATATATATATATTATATATATATATATATTATATATATATATATATATATATATATATATATATATATTTTTTTACTTGGGCCGTTTCTCACCAAGGAAAGGAGATCTAAAGTAGGAAATAGTAGCCATACCATACAATCGTTCATTTAACAGCTGTTTTGCCAGTTTACGAACATCATTGATTCTTCCAACTGCAACATCCCTACCCGTCCAATAGAGTATAGTCATTGTACTCGCCACCACCGGGGCTCAAATTCTGCTAATTATTGCCCCCCGAATCCCTTAATAAGGGTTAACTGTGCTGACACCAGCTTATCGAATCCCAGAAACTATGTATCTCCACTTACTCCGCTCTTACATGCCTGCTGGATTCTGAAGATTTGCTACTAAAAACCTCCTTCACCACCTAATTCCATCCATTTTATAAAACAGACACTACCCCTCATTCAGTCTAACCTAGATTTATACACCCTCTTGGTCAAACAATTCTGCTCCAGCCTTCTAAATGGCGTACCATATCTTTATTCTTTACATAATATTCACACTACATTTTGCCCTGAAATACGACATCCTTACTGACTCCAACGTTTGAAGACCATGTCTCACGCCAGTGTAAAAGTGTAGGTACCACTAAACTCTGGTACATACTCCTTTATGACACCGTTAATATTCCACATATGTCTCAATTCTCCATCTATCTTTTTTTCCCTTAGCCTATTTTATGGCTCACTTTGTTACAGACACATTTACGACAAGTCCACTCGCAGATGTCTAAATACATTCACTTCCTCCATATCCCTTCCCCCCACCCCCAATCTGAGACCCAATTTTCATTGCCTAAACTTTTTACTTTCGTTACTTTGATCTTTTATATGCTCACTTTAAATTTTGTTTTAAACATCCTCCCAAATTCCTCCACCTTTTCAACCTCTCAATAAAATTCCTCCAAAAGTTAGTGCCACCAGCAAAGCAACCAAGTCTTTACATTTCTTTTAGGTACGTGCGAATACGCATGGTCCAAATATCTATTTAAACCCAGAGCTACCAAACCTACGCTTCCCATCTTTTTTAATCCCAGGTTAATGTAGGCTATGGTATGAATCTTAGTGATGGATACTGACAAGTGGTTTCATAAGACACATAATTGAACACTAGGACATGTTCACTTTGGAAATGTTTCGGTCTAAGACCTTTGATCACTTCTAACTAAGAATATGGAAATGACAAAAGTCATAAGACCCAAACTTTATTCTAAACAAACAGTTTCTAATGTTTGCTTCCGTGTTTCCCAAAATTTAATGTACATCAACCTAACCAAACCTAACCTGACTCATGAAATCGCAATAACACGATTACAAACAAACCACGGTACGCGTGGGACTCGAACTCACGGCATGTGACTTCGAGCCCCACCTGTACTGTGTTTTTTTCAAACCTAACCTTACAGAAAACAACAAACATTACAATTTTTATTAAATTTTATACATACTGAAATACACGAAGGGTAATTCATGTGTTTGCCGTGTACGAAGAGCGGGCTGAACTGTGAGTAGTTGTGACAACTCCCACGTTGCAAAGAATTCATCTCTCTCTTAAGCCCATATTTCTCCCGAACGTTCTAGCATTCACTTCTAGTAAGACCCAATCTTTATTAAGCAATTATCATGACATCACACATCCCTGTCTTCTGTGTCCCCTATAAACCTTATCTTAGGCCACACTCTTCTCATTTAATTAACGCACTACCTATTCTACGCCTTTTCTAAATCTATAAATTCAACCAGCATTTTCTTACCATTTTCTAAGTATTGTTCACTTATGTACTTTAATGTAAAATCTGGCCCACCTACATACATACATACATATATACATACTTATTTAGAGTAACATACACTGACAATGGGAGTCCGAGAACCTGGAGTACCTGTAACTAGAGTGGGAGGAGAGAACCATTGAGTACATGGACTGAAGAGGGTTGGATGGGAGAGGCAAAAGAGCACAGAATTGTGGCATACTCAGCTTGGCAACATCCATCACCCACATCATTTTGCAACAGAAACTTTAATGTTAAGATACAACAGAAAAAATAATGTAGTGATACAACAGAAATATTAATTCAGTGATACAACATAAACATCGGTATGATACAACAGAAGCATCAGTAAGATATAACAGAAATAATTAACACAATGATTCAAGAGAAACATCAATATAATGATATAAATGAAACATTAATGCGATGTAACAGAAACAGCAATATAGTACAACAGAAACATCAGTATAATGATACAACAGGAACATCATTTTGTTACAACAGAAACAGAGAACACAGTGTGGATCAGTAGATCTGCAGTGTGATCTACCATTTCTTGATTCTTCACCTGCACTCAGTGATCAAGCGTATTATTCAACACGGTTTTAAAAGGTGTGGCAATTGCGACAAGCTGTGGGTAAATACACAGATTTATTAAAGGACACGTTTCTCCACTAGTGGCTTCAAAGGTCGTAATCCTAAGGACTGATAAAGCTACTCGTTGAATACGTGTCCTGAACTGTACAGAAGTGTCCTTATTCACACTACGCATTGACCTTATCTGCACATGCACTGATGTTACTGTATGTTCTCTAGATTCTAGATGCAGCTTCCCCTCCCACCGTAAATAAAACGTTGTATCAGTGAAGGCTTACCTGCATTTAGCGTCTTACCTAGATGAGAGGCTGTTGAGATGATTTTTTCGTGCACAGGAGAGCACAGCAGGTTGATCACGAGGGTGATGAAATCCGTGGTGAACAAGAGCAGGGGATGCCCGACGAAGGGTTTTACGAGGGTGTGGACGAGGTTTTGAGTGGTGAGGGCTTGATAATCCAGCAGACATGTGTGAGTATACTAGATCAGGGTTTACCAAAGTGATTTATGGAATCTTATGAATTGACTGAATGGAAATATCTGAGGAAGGGTGTCAGGAAAAGCTGGTCAGCCGGAGTCAGTTTCCGGAGATGGGAAATACAGTGACTACTGTTTACGGTTTGGTGGGTCAACAGAATAATTATCTTGTGTAAGTGCCTGATCACCCAGATTGTAATTGTTATGTGCGCCAGCTTGTCGTTAGGGCGGGCTGCGGGGACCAAAAAGAGGCCTTGAAACATTTTACAGGTATTACTGCCTCCTGATGATTGCACTAATCTTGTTTTTTCCCCTTCACTTTCTCTTTCTCTTTCGCACCCCTCACACTTTCTCTCAAGGAATTAAAGATTAACTAGTCTAAAGCCTTAAAGACACTGATTCAAACCTACACACACAAAACACATAAACACACACACACACACACCCCACACACACACTCACACACACACACACACAACACACACCACAACACCAAAACACACACACACACACACACACACACACGCGCGCGCGCGCGCGCGCGTATGTTTCGTTTTTATGTCGTCCAAGAACTAGCATGATTTTTAAAGTAAGAATCCAGAGGTAATGTTTGAAAAGGTGAGAATATTTTTCCGACGTCTGCGACGCATCGACCGGGAGGAAGTTGGACAGGAAAGGGCAAACACTGGAAGTTACCTGGAAAAAATGTGAGATTATTCCTAACAAAAACTAGTGGAGATAAAAGCATTAAAATTATTATTGATTATGAAGATGATTATGATGATGATTAGGAGGAGGAGGAGGATAAAAAGGAGGAAGAGTAGGTGGAATAAAAACTCACAATACCATGGATGGAACAATTCACAAATCATGGTACTTTTCCTGTGTGCGGGTTATTTGTGGATGATGATAATGATGATGATGATGATGATGATGACGATGATGATGATACCGTCACATTAAGTTACTCATGAGTGAACTTAATCCATTTTAAGAACAATTCAGAAACTTCACCTTCAACCAACTACACATTCTGGTGTGGTGGAGAGATCACGACCTCTGCACCGACGACTGGAAACTGTGTCAGGTTAGGTCACAGGTGGTGTCATGTGGGTGGGACCTTTCAAGTAAAAGGTTACCCAGCGGTAGGCATGCTAGAGATACGGCAAAGCTGAAAGTGCTATGTAATCAGTGATATTATGTACCCTAATGACCTCTGCTTTCGGGAATTTCCTCCTAATCCTATCGTCCTCAGTATCATTAATAATAATAAGGAGAAAAACAATAATAATAATAATAATAATAATTATTATTATTATTTATTATTATTATTATTATTATTATTATTTTATTATTATTATTATTATTATTATTATTATTATTATTTTTATTACTTTATTATTTATTATTATTATTATTATTATTATTATTATTATTATTATTATTATTATTATTATTATTATTATTATTATTATAGTAATAATAATAATATGCAACAAACAATGCAAAACAATTCGGCTCGAAATCCTCTTCAGGTAAGTAAAGAGCCCCTTATCTTCCAACTTTTTTTTTTTTTTAGCGTTGAGGAGATAGCCTACTAAACAGGGTAGTAGAATATTCCTCGTGCGTTCAAACGTGAGTCACTTAATATATTTCTCTCGTTACTGTTGGCCATTTATCCGTAGAGGGGAAGTATAAGTTAACTTATTCAAGCCTAAGCTAAATTCCCGCAGTATGTTAAAAGTTGTAGAAATTAACAAACGGCAATTTGGAGAAAATGCCCATATTAACTGGAGAATAAGTTGAAATCACGGTAGAAAGAAAGCTTTAATGTGAGTATGCCGATCATATATTGTGCATATGTTAATACGTCAGATATACCTCCAAATCAGACATGCAACCA